AAAAAAAGAAGAAGAATTTACTTGACAGTTTTCTACTTTTTCGCTCAACCGCTCAGCTGCGCGTTTATGTTGCTACTGAATTGCAAGCGTTCAATTTGAGCTCTTTTTCTCGGTGCTGTTGCGCTTTTTGCCATCACCGGCCACTCGCTAGGGTTTCACGTGTGTGTGCTGTTGTTGTAACTTGAGTATGCGCGCACGTTTATTTGTCTTCAGAAATAGTACATATGGATACCCGATTGCTTATATTATATATGTATATACAAAATGCTTTCCGACTTCCGCGCATTTTTACTCAAAGAAGAATACTCGTTTGTATTGTAGCTTTTGTATTGCGCGAGTGTCGGTCTTTTCGCCGCCTGTGCTGTCTGCCGATTTTTTTTTGTGTATTCGCGAAATATTCTTTTTTTTGTACTGCTCTACACCTTTGTGAGTTCTTAGGCCGCACGTATGTTTCTGCGTTATTTAAATTTTTATGCTGCTCCTTTCACTAATGTATGTAACTGCTCTCGGTTTAGTGAGTGAGTTTTTTTTATTCATAGATTTCGTGGCTTTTGGCGCGCCTTGTTTGCCGCGACAGACACATGACTGCCTGGTGTGTTAAGGTTTTTATCGTTTGTTCTTCCACGATGCCACCAACAGCGGCGCTTTGCCATTTTAACGCGCTGCCGCCTGAGTTGAGCGCGCATATAACAACAACCACAGCAAGAACGAAAACACATGAAACACACACTGATAATTACTTACTGAAGTATTAAAGAGGAGTTAGAAGGGAGGCAACAATAGCAATAATAAAAGCTATAACTGATTTTACGTTACTTTGTGCATGTGTTACTTTGTGAGGTGTGTATTTACATAACTGAGGTGCTAACTCAGCGCCACTGGACTTTAAAGGCGTTGAAAGCGTAGCTGTTTGCTTGATTACGCTTTTTTAATAATTTTTTTTTGGGGAACTCATCAACTATTTATGTAATTTCGAGTTTTTTGGATTCTTAGTTAGGCTGACATTTCTTTATCTAAACATGCTTGTATCTCTAGAACTGTGCCACAGAAATAACAGAAACTTTGCGAAAACAGTCTTCAGGTATTTTAGGAAGTATGCGCTTAGAATCGACTATTTGCTAGAACTACCGTCCACTCAAGCGCAAACTTAAAAAGTCATTGCTATGAACTACATTCCCTGGTGGAAAAAAGTGAGAAAACCATTCGCTTTCACGTGAATTTACGTGGCGGTCTGCGGATTATTTGAGGGACGAACATTCATTTACTTTTGTCCTTCAAAATAACGCCCGTTCCGCCTAGCCCGTGTCAACTCGGTTTGCTGTGGCACATCAAACTCGGATTTATAAAGGAACAAAGCCGACATAAGTTTCGTTTTGTGTGTATCGGAACAATATTGATGCATTTAACCCCTCACAAAACAAACTTAAAAAATTCACACTAAACAAAATTCAATGCAAAAAAATTTTACTTTTTTTTTTAAATTTGCATTAATTTTAGCTCAAAACTAATTTTTTCTGACCTTTCGTTAATTTTATAAATTTTGTTCTATAAAATATTTTTTCAAAAACTTTTTTTTAAATCTTTATTTTAATATTTTCCTCAAATAAATTTGTTCCAAATACTTATTTTGTCTCAAAGAAAAAATTTGTTGTTCAGAAGTAATTTTTTTTCTTAAATAGCTTTTATTATTTTGATATTTTCTTAAAAAATAATTTTTTCCTAAAAAATCTTAAAAAAAATAGTTTTTCTCCTAAAGATTGTTTCCTACTACTATTTCCCTTACATTTGTATTTTAAAAATTATTGTTTTTTAATCTTATTAGCAATAATAATTTTTGCTGGCATAAATTGAGTGCTAAAATTATTTTTTCTCCAAAAAATATTTTATTCTTATGTTTGGTATTTTTTTTTTAAATTTGTATTTCCTTCCTAAAAAATGGAAATTACTATTGAAAACTCACACAATATCCATATGAGTGGAAAAACTTTTTGGAAATTATGTTTTCAGCTATCAACTTTTTCGGTACTCTCAAAAGAGTGGAGCTCAAAAGGGCCAAGCCCAACCTTTTGCGATATTGCAACCTTTCGATGTCATGACAGCTGGTGAAACATTTGCGACATTACAGTGACCATGTGTACATTTTATGCTTACAGAGGATTTTATTAGTGATGTATTTTAACACAAATTTCCGTTATCGCTTGTCAAATTTGGTATGGAGGCAAACCGGTTTCGGTATTGTGCCATACTCAGTGTCGCTCTTCGTTAGTTTTAGATTCAATTAATTATATTATTTATTAAGAAAATTTCAGTTCGACTTATTGAGAACCAACTGTATTTCTGCAGCATTTTAGTGTATTTCTTATATTATTTCCTTTAATCATCTGCAATCATTCTAGGCCATTCAACTGTACGTACAATTTTCAAGAAATTCCTGGTTCAAGTGGATCAATTGTTGACCTCGTTGGTTGATAATAAAGTTTTTAATAAAATGTTTGTAGGTATGTAAATGGCATGCAAAAATATATATGTATACGCCAGTAGGCATTTGAGAGGAGATATGAAATTGGCATTACAACAATTTTCCAAAAATATGATGAAGAAATTACAAACGTTTTGGATTTATTGTTTTTTGCTACTTTCTGTCTGTCGTTTGACATTGGAATGGGTTTGATTGCCATTGCCGGAAAAACTTTTTTCAGACTCGCATTATGGAGTGAGTGCAAATTTTTAACGGAACTCCTGTAGTGGCCAAATGAGTGGAAAATTTTATAATTGAGTGGAAAAGTTAGTAGGAAGATGAAGTCTGTAGTTCATTAGCAAAATTTCGAGCAAAGAAAAAGGTAAGAAAGAATAATGCACTTAAAAGCAAATTCATTGATAATGCAAGCAAGCGAACTAGTGTCAGTGACAATACAGTCGACTA